GGCAGCCACGTCTTAGTCTAGACTAATGAGGGTAGAGCGTCTGAGGGAGGGAACAAGCCATCAGAATGTTTTTAAAGCTCCCTAGATGAGTTCAATGATTAGCCAAATAAAGTCCTCATTTGCTCTAACATTCTGAACCCACTGAGTAGTTGCATTGAAGATCAGAAAGTGGTTCAAACAAACAGGACCCAGGCAGCTCCAAGATGAAGTTTTCCATGGGAAGCTGGTTCTATACAAGACAATGCTAAAATAGCACTCATTCTTTCTGGGCCACTTGTAAGTGTCACAATAAGCTCTATATTCTTCGCTAAACTGTGTACAGAAAACACACCCCCAAGGAAGTAAAGTTTGCTTGACTTGACTTAGATCACCACTTAGTATTTTTCTCACGGCAAATGTATTAATGGTATAGAGGAAAACTGTATAAATTCTACCAGCCTCTGAAATTGAATTCTAAAATATCACTGACAAATCATGAATTAATTACCTTACATTCCTGTGCAAGTCTGGCATTGACTAGTGTGCTTAAGATGCTGCTTAGGATACCCACATCCCATATCAGAATTCCTGGGTTTGAATCCTGGCTCCACTTCTGATCCTGCTTCCTGCAAATGCACATCCTTAGAGGTGGTGATGATGGTCCAAGTACTTGGGTCCCTGCCACCTACATGGGACATCAAGAATGGGTTCTTGGCTCCCAGATTTTTCCTGGCTCAGTTCTGACTGTTGTAGGCATTTGGGGAGTGAACCGATGGACAGAAGATATTTCTCTCTCTCTCTCTCTCCCTCTCCCTCTGCCTCTCTCTCTCCCTCTCCTCCTCCCCTTCCCTCCCTCCCTCTCCCCTTCAAATAAAATGAAAGTAAATAAGCAAAAAATCTAAAACACAAAAACAGGCTGAAGGGAGGCGGGGTGTTAAGGAACTGTTTTATGGATACAGTTTCACTTTGGTCTGATAAGTTCTGCAGACAGAGGTTGGTAATGGTTCCTGTTGTTGGTTTTTTTATGTTATTATCAATCAAATTCATGCACAAGAAGAGACACAGTAGAGTCCAGGAATACAAAGGCAGGGCACATGGCGCACATGCAGGGTCACATGGAAATATTCCAGCATCAGTCAGGAGACAGAAGTGGTAGGAAGAAGGGGACAGTGTAGGTCACGACTTCTGCTGGAAATTCCTTGGGGAGGGTATGGCAGGGTAAGCCATCTAGGATTGGTTAGTTCCAATAATTTTGGCAGGCTCTAAGCTATAGGATTGGTCACTAGATGCCTGATACCTGTCCTGGGATCACTACCTCCTGGAACCACAGAGGTTAGTGCTGTCTGTGTATCAAAGACCTGCTCCCTATGGCGCCCTGTTGCTGCCTCTAAGAAAGAGCTGGCCCCAGGAAGGGCAGTCTGTCCCCAGCCAGAAAGGTCCACACCCTGGAAAATGGCTACAATGACTTAGTTGTCATAAACCAAGAACAAACCCAGGATCTACAGATTAAAAAAAGAAAAAAACACGTAAAATCTAGGCAAAAGACAAGAACCAAAGGGGGAAAATGGTAAGGTAGAAGACAAAGCTTATACCAAGAACTTCAAGGCTCACCAAAGTATGTCTCTTTTAAAATATTCATTTATTTATTTATTTGAGAGAGAGAGAGCTCCCTTCCATGGTTCATTCTCCAAATGCTGGACAAGCTCTGGGAGCCTGGAACTCAGTCCAAGTCTCCCACATGGGCAGCAGAAACTCAATCACTTGAGTCATCACGCCTGCCCCCCAGGGTCTGCATCAGCAGGAGGCTGCAGCTGAGAACTGTAGCTGAGTATGGGACCCAGGCACCCTGGGCTTCTTAACCCCTGGGTTAAATGCCTGCCCCTGAAGTTTGTCTTATCCAACATAAAGAAAGAGTTGTATCAGCCACTGCCTGAAATGCAAATTTTAAGGAATTCTAAAAATTGCCCAACAGGGTAGATGAAAGAAAACAGCTCAGAATTGCTCTGTTCTCTAACCCATTTTCACTTCTTATTACTCTGTCAAGGGTCTAAAGTGATCAGGAAGGACAGTGTGGGCTATTCTCCACTGGAAACCTGACTCATCTTCATGTGTGACAGCACGGTGGTGAGCCCTGTGTATGCTGCCCATCGTGGCTGGCCAATTCAGTGTTATGTTCTCTGGCCAAACTAGATCACAAACTCAACGACAGACTTTCTACAACTCAGTGCTCTGAGTTGTGCATCTGCATATACATATGAGAGTGATTCCAAGAGTTCATTGAAAATAGGTATCATGAAAAAACTACACATGAATTCAAACTGGTTTTGCACCAAAATAAGCATATCTTTTAATTGCATTTTCCCATGCACCTGTGTGTATATATACAGATAGTCACTGATGCAGTTTAATCTGTCGGACTCATGTACCCCAGTTTCCTGAATTTCTAACCTCTAAAATCTCTCCTTTAACACACTGTACTGTATACTTTGCATCCACGGTGGTCTTGCTGACAAGATAACTTGCCTCATTGCACATCCCTACCTGACTTTCCCTTCCTCTCTAATTCTCCTTTTTTCCTTTCTCATCTGCCAAATCTTTTCTTTATTCTCTATGCCAAGATTCTCTGGCATTAACACCTAAGGCTGCCAAACCTTCCTGTAACTGTCTGAACATAAACAACCCAACGATGACTGCACTTCCCTCTCTCCCTACAATTGCTGTGTATGTCCAATAGCAGTGTGCCCACAGAGTGAGTACCAGAGGCCAGGACAGCAACAGCTCCCTAAGTCTCAGCCCACCACCGAGAAGAAAGTCCCAGACATGAACAAGAGCTGGCTTGAAAGGATGAGCTGTGCACCTGGCTCCTGGCTTTGGATCAGCGCAGCACACTGGCCATAGCGGCCATTTGGGGGGTGAACCAACAGAAAAGTGGTGGGATTCTGTTGGAAAACCCTGCCCCACCAGGAAAGCTTTGCAGTGTGCAGCACGCTGTTCTGAAGTCCTTCGCTGTGCAACAGGCCTGGATTTTGCACACAGTGAGTGCTGCACTAGCATCCAGAGAGTTGGAATTGTGTCCTGAGTAGGCTGCTAACCAGCCTTGGGTACCTGGGCAAGTCACCTAACTTTTCTTTTATCTGAGAGCAGAGTTACAGACAAATAGAGGGAGAGACAGAGAGGTCTTCCATCAGCTGGTTCACTCCTCAAATGGTCTCAACAGCCAGAGCTAGGCCAATCCAAAGCCAGAAGCCAGAAACTTCTGCCGGTTCTCCCATGGGGGTACAGGGACCCAAGCACTTGGGTCAACTTCCACTACTTTCCCAGGCCACTAGCAGGGAGCTGGATTGGAAGTGGAGCAGCAACAGACTCAAATCTGCATCCCTATATGATGTTGGTGCAGCAGGCAGAGGCTTAGCCTACTACGCCACAGTGCCAGCACCCATTGCCTAACTTTTCTACACCTTGCTGTCCCCACTGGAGATGATGAGATGTGGAGATGGTGAGAACTGACACTGTGGAGCACTTACTCTCTGAGCATTGTTCCAAGCTGCTTAGAAGCACTGTTGCTGTCATCCTTCCAGAAGCCCTGGGAAGCAGGCATTGCTGTGGTTATGGCTTATCTGAAAGATCCAGCGAGACCTAAAGGGTAGTTTTCTGCCTGTGGTCCCAAAGCTGTGTACGGAGCTAAGATTCCCAGCAGGCTGTGCACTGGTCAGAACCACATTCCCATGGACGGAGCTTTCTGGGTGGCATAGCCTCTTTCACTGAACTGAGCTAATGAAATCCCAGCAAGGATTTGGAAATAAATGTAACGTGTTATGCTGAGCTGGCCTGAAGTTCACTTCCTCATCTGTTGAAAGGACATGATACTTATGCTCTAGAGTATTTGTAAAGACTAAGAATAAAGAGAGTTTAGTGCCCAGCACAGTTGGTGATACCTGCATTAGGTTGATTGATAAATGGAAGTGTCTAGTCTTAGCATCACTGGAATTATTGATGTTCTATTCTAGTTGCCAAGAAGAGTTTATTCATTTCCCTCCCTCCCCAGTAACAAGACTGGGACATGTGTACAATGTTAATGCTAATTATCATCCACAGAAAGCAGGCTTTCATTGAGTTTAAGGGAAAAGAAATCTTTATTATGTGAGGATCTACATATGGGAGAAAGGTGAGATTTTGCTGCCCCACCTTCACCACCACTGCCACACACAAACCACAGGCTGCTTTTAAATCTTAAGAAAGGGGAGTCAGCTCTGTAGCATAGTCAGTAAAGCCACTGCCAGCAGTGCCAGCATCCCATGTGGGCACCGGTTCGAGTCCCGGCTGCTCCACTTCCTATCCAGCTCTCTGCTATGACCTGGGAAAGCAGTAGAAGATGGCCCAAGGCATTGGGCCCCTGCACCTGTGTGGGAGACATGGAAGAAGCTCCTGGCTCCTGGCTTCGGATTGGCGCAGCTCCAGCTATTGCGGTCAATTGGGGAGTGAGCCTGCGGATGGAAGACCTCTCTCTCTCTCTTTCTCTCTGCCTCTCCTCTCTCTGTGTAACTCCGACTTTCAAATAAGTAAATAAATCTTAAAAATAAATAAATAAATAAATCTTAAGAGAGGGGGCGGCGCTGTGGTGTAGCGAGTAAAGCCACCGCCTGCAGTGCCTGCATCCCATATGAGCACCAGTTCGAGTTCCACCTGCTCCACTTCCTATCCAGCTCTCTGCTATGGTCTAGGAAAGCACTGGAAGATGGCCCAAGTTCTCAGGCCTCTGCACCTGCATGGGAGACCCGGAAGAAGCTCCTGGCTTTGGATCAGCCCAGCTCCAGCTGTTGCAGCCATTTGGGGGTGAACCAGCAGATGGAAGACCTCTCTATCTCTATCTCTCTCTGCCTCTGCCTCTGCCTCTCTGTAACTCTGCCTTTCAAATAAATAAATAAATCGTAAACAAAAAATCTTAAGAGGTTGCATAGGATCTAAACCTGCCCACTGCTGCCATGTAAAACTAACACCACTCTCCCCTTGCCTTCTTACAGATTTTTGCATATATGAATGAAACTTCCTCCCGAAAAGAAAAGTGGGACCTCCAAGCTCTTAGGTTCTTATCAATTAATTCAATAATCGACCCTTGGGTCTTTGCCATCCTCAGGCCTTCTGTTCTGAGACTCATGCGCTCGGTCCTCTGCTGTCGGGTGTCATTAAGAACACAAGATGCAACGCAAACTTCCTGTTCCACGCAGTCAAACGCCAGTAAACAGGCTGACCTTTGCGGACAATAGTTACGGCGTGCTTAGTTCTGCAGCATCTGGAAGATCATTTTGAAACGACTCCTTGGAGAAATGCAGCAAGTTAGTGTGTCAACAAAATGAAGCTGCCCTGATAAAACGGGGTAAACAAGATTTAAGCAGTGGATTGGGCTGCAAAGGTGCTCACAAGGCTCTTCAGGGAACGTGGCAGAAGAATTTATAAAATTTATCCTCAAGGAGCCCGTGATGCGGCCTCTGGAGGAACAAGCGGCTGCCTTTAAGATCCAGTGGCCTTTTGATTTCAGCTTTCCTGTTGAACGACCAAGCGTGTGGTTTTGTAATTTGTTTAGTTCTTTAAATAGTTTCTGCCTTTTCTATTTTAATCTCCTATGCCGCTACTGATATGAGCAAACATACAGCGTACAGTCAGACCCAACGAAGCTTCGTATGTGTTCTCTAGGAAGTCGCTATGTGGAAGCAGGGAAGCAGCCAGGGCTGGGCAGGCTGATGTCTTGGAGGAGTTTAATGGACTCTTTGTTTGGACAGTGAATTTGAAAAATCATTGGTGCCTTGGCTGTGCTGCTTGTCCGTGTGGGAGTCCTCCCTCGTCACTATGGGACTACTCATGCCAGAGTGGGTGCAGGTGCTTAACATCAGTTTTGTTCACTCGTCTTCCAGGAGCTATGCGCCAACTTGTCGGGTTATTTATTTCATAATCTCCATAGTACTCATATTAATCAAGAAGACTTCAGAAAGCTTCCTTGAGAAAGGAAATAACAAGAAGGTTGTTCAGAGAGTTAATTCTGATTAACACTCTTCATTCTCTATCAGTTAATTCTGGTTCAATTCTTCATATATATATATGTATATGCCTATGTCTGAAGCCAAATATTAGGTTTAAAAACCGAAAAGTTTGATCCATTCTTTAGATAAACTGGAACTGGTGTAATGTTGAAATTGGGGCCATGACTAATATATACTTGATAAGATGACTGCCGTCTTTAATTAATTAATGTCTCTGTTTTTATTTAGAGAACATGGTTTGACTCATATTATATAGGAAGTCATGTGACCATGAGTCATATCTTAATATATTTCTAAATGTTTCGCATGGTGTAAACTCAGCATCAAAATATTTCAAGTAAATTTGCAGTGGTTAGTCATAGTTACTGTGTAAGCTCATCTGAAATGTTACAGAAATAAACTGCAAAACAACATTTGAAAAAGGAACAGTATTTGAAAAACTTCAAATGATGTTTTATAGTTCATGCACATGTAGTATCTTTTGAATGGCAAAATATAGGGGAAAATTATTTTTTGGAAAAACTGTATATTTAATTTGACAAGTTTTAAAAGTTTGGCTGCTAGATTTTTAAAGCATGGTTGCAGGGGCCAGTGCGGTGGTGCAGTGGGTTAGGCTACTGCCTGCAGCACCAGCATCTCATACGGGCACTGGTTCGAGTCCTGGCTGCTCCACTTCTAATCCAGCTCCCTGCTAATATGCCTGAGAAAGCAGCAGAGGATGGCCCAAGTTCTTGGGCTCCTGCAGCCATGTGGGAGACCTGGAGGAAACTCCTGGCTCCTGCCTTCAGCCTGGTCCTCACTGTCCTGGCTATTGGGGAGTGAACCACTGGATGGAAGATCTCTCTCTCTCTCTCTCTCTAACTTTCAAATAAAATAAATATTTTAAAAAGTGTTAAATTAGTTTTAAATATCCAATACAGTACTTGGTACTATAAGATTTTGTTCATTCATCTTACCCTTCTAGAATGATCTTTAAAATAGCAAAACCAACTTATTTTTGCAGAGTAGTATTATAGGAGAGCTATCATTTAAAAAAAGGGGGGGTGGACAGCACCATGGCACAGTAGGTTAATCCTCCACCTGCGGCGCTGGCATCCCATATGGGCGCCAGTTCTAGTCCCAGTTGCTCCACTTCCAATCCAGCTCTCTGCTATGGCCTGGGAGAGCAGTAGAAGATGGCCCAAGTCCTTGGGCCTCTGCACCCGTGTGGGAGACCAGGAAGAAGCACCTGGCTCCTGGCTTCAGATCGCCACAGTTCCAGCCATGGCGGCCATTTGAGAGTGAACCAACGGAAGGAAGACCTTTCTCTCTGACTCTCCCTCTCACTCTCTGTAACTCTACCTCTCAAAAAAAAAAAAAAAAAAAAAAAAAAAAAAAAACAGAGAGAAGGGGGGTGTTAGTTTTTTCCAAAGTCTCATGGAGGTATTTACCCAAAACCATTTCCTGTAAGTAGCTACTAAGCTAGACAATCACTTAGAGTGATTCCAAACCAACCCAGGCATCATTTTATTTTGATACAATTTATGCCAAATTAGCCCTTACTCCAAAAAGAACAAATAGGAGCTGGCTCTGTGGTGCAGCGGGTAAAGCTGCCACCTGCAGCACCGGCATCCCATATGGGTGCAAGTTCCAGAAACATTGCTATCCCAAACCCACAGTGTAGTCCAGCCTGCAAGCCCAGGGCAAGGAACACAAGTCAATCCACATCGCAGCGTTCTCCTAACTCGGTTATGCTTTGGGCATCCCATGCTGCTAGTGTCAGTGCACTTCGAAAGGAGGATTGTCTAATGCTAATGCCAAGTCAGCTCTGATTTTAGCAAAGAAAAACAACATATTCAGGCTCAGGATTTTGTAACTTTGAGAGGCAGAAGTAGAAAATTGGCTCTCACTGAGGCAGAGGTTTGCTTATTTCATTCACTAAGTGGTAGCGTTTTTTGAACTTGGGGAGATCCCCTCCTTGAGCCATTCAGATAACGACGCAGCCCTCTTCACAGAGAGTATTTTATACATGAGCACTTGCAGTGCCTGCTCGTCCAGGCAGAGGCACAACATGACTGTTTGAGGACTGTGATGCTTTGCATACAATTTGAGTTTGTCCCTCTGCGGTTCACGGGTTGAAGCCTGGGTTCTCAGAATGGCAATGTTAAGATGGGACCTTTGGGGTGGGGCCTAGTTGGGGAGGTCCTTGGGTCACTGGGGTCATGATCTGAGAAGGGATTAAAGTAGTTCTCATGAGACCCAGAGTTACTTTCTCCCCAGAACAAGCCCAACCTGGGATTCCTGACTTGCGGTATGACCTGCCTCTCTTCATGTGCTCCCACTGATAGACCCTCACTGGAGGCTGAACCAGCGAGGACCCCCAATCTTGGACTTCCAGTCTCCAAGGGTGCAAGCTAAATAAACCTATTTTCTTCATAAGTACCTGACCCCTGGGATTTTGTTATGGCAGCAAACATATAGACTAATAAAATGCCTGTCTTCTGCCTTTATCAACATTTAACTCTGTTCAATTTCTCCTCTGGTCATCTGTCAGCCCTATAAGTAATTGTTTAATTTACAAAAATATTTTGATTGCCTAAAATGCACACTATGGAAAGAAGCATTGTTTTAGCAATTCACAAAAGCTGCAGTCTGTACCTGAGCCGAGACCCTGTATTTGGCATTATTTTTTATTCCAGAATGTTACTCTTCTTTTTTCTGGTAGTGTTGGAATCTTATTTACCATAAGTAATTTTTCTTGAATTATAGTTTTCCTATTTCCCATAAAACATATGGAGTATTATAAGTCAATTTTAGTGTTTTTCATTTGGGATCTAGGAATTTCATTTTAAATTCTGCAGGGTCAAGGTGCCTGCACTGCGGCATAGCGGCTAAAGTTGCTGCCTACAGTGCCGGCATCCCATGTTGGCGCCAGTTGGAGTCTCGGCTGCTCCTCTTCTGATCCAGCTCTCTGCTGTGGCCTGGTAAAGCAGTGGAATATGGTCCAAATCCTTGGGCCCCTGCACCCGCATGGGAGACCCGGAAGAAGCTCCTGGCTCCTGGCTTCAGATTGGCGCCACTCTGGCCATTGCAGCCAACTGGGGAGTGAACCAGTGGATGGAAGTCTCTCTCTCTCTCTCTCCCTCTCTCTCTCTCTCTCTCTGCCTCTCCTTCTCTGTGCAACTTTGACTTTCAAATAAATAAATAAATCTTTTCAAAATCTGCAAGGTCAAATATACCCATGAGGATTCCAGTACAAAGAGATGGCGCACTCCAAGGGTAGCTGAGGAATGGTCAACGGAAGGAACATTGACAGAGGACTGGTGGAGTAAAGGGCACCAGTGAGGATGCAGGACGTCCTGGAAGCTGTTTCCACTCCAGGCCTGGAGGGACGAGGGAGGAAGCAGTTACTGGTAGCCTGTGAGAGCCTCAGAGATGCCACCCAACAGGAGCTGCAGTAGGAAAACACAGAAGCACAAGGAGGGAACCATGGGAGAGACTCCTGGAGATCTCCCCTCCTGCCTCACCCTCCTGCTGTGCCTCCCATTAGCCAAAGCCCACCATAATACACAGCATAAAGCAAACCTGGGGGATGCAGCTGTGAGGCAGAACAGACAGCTGATTGATGGGGGGAAATGGAGAATATCCAGTATCAGCAGAATTAATATATTATTATTTATATAATATGCATACATACATAATTACATATATACATTATTCACACACACACATTAACTGTAACACAAAAACTGAAACAGCAAAGTGGGTAGCCATTCTTCTTGCCTTCTGCTCCAAATAGATTCCCCTAGCAAGCTTAGGGAATAGGAAGCACCCCTCTCTGTATGGAAAGGGGTCAAATGCTAGAGATCCCTTTACCAAAATACCTGTCTCAGACCCTGCTCCCTCAGGCTGAGCATTTACATGCATCTGCCCCGGGGGCAGACTGTATGGCTGGGGGCGAGAAAGAAGGTCAGACTGCAGGAAGCAGTTGGTCCTGCCCACAGTAGTTCAGCCTAACAGCTGTTCTTAAGCAGAGCAAAGAGAGACAGTGCATCGCGTATAGTGGTCTAGACGTGAACTGAAGCCTTATTTTTAAGGATGACTAGAATGAGAAAAACCTAGAAAAATGTCAACAACACTGACAGTTTACTGTAAGTTGGGACAGGTTTATACAAACTACTGTAAAAGAAGAATACACATAGCAATTCTGTAATTCTGTAAATTTTAACCAAACAGAAAAAGCCTGGACAGAGTGCAGCTCCCAAGGCCATCTGCCAATGCTGCTCTTGCTGGTACCTGTCTTTACTCACTTCCCTATGGCCTCTTCTAGAACATACTTTTTCTAGCACCTACTGTCTCCTCTCCACCCAGCTACAGGGCCCTGTCTCCTTTGATGCACAAACTCACACAAAACTCCAGGTTCTCTGAGGGACGTTAAAGATTTGTCGAACCACTGGGCTTTTCTGAGTCGAGTTATTTCATGTCTCTGAGACCTCATCTCTAAAATGAAGATAATAGCGTTTTCACAGTTTCTCAATTGTTTGGGTGATTAAAGGAGTAAATGCAGTCAGGATTTTGCACAGTATCTGAACATGGCAAATGCGAATAAAACGAAGGATTAGTATCATTTTTAAAAAGATTTATTTATTTATTTATTTATTTGAAAGGCAGACTGACAGAGAGAGTGTGGGAGAGACAGAGATCTTCCATCACTGATTTCACTCCCCAAATGGCCCTGGCAGTAAAGCCTGGAGCCTGGAACTCCATCCAGGTCTCCCACACAGGTGGCAGGGACCCAAGTACTTGGACCATTATCTGCCGCTTTCCCAGGTGCAGCAGCAGGAAGCTGGATTGGAACTGGAGCAACTGGGACTTGAACCGATGCGCCAATATGGAATGCTGGTGTCACAAGTGGTGGCTTACCCTGCTGTGCCACAGTGCTGGGCCCCAGTTCTGTGGCCCCTCTGACCTCTCCACGCACCTGGCTCAGGTTTCCGATTCTCGGAGGTGGTGGTGGTGGAGGTAGAGGTGCTAGTTCTTGGGGTGAGGCTGCCTCTTTCTTAACTCTCAGTAACTGTGGAGAATGATGATGCTATGCATAGGGGACAAGTCTATTTCAGGAATGCAATGCGGACCGGTAGCCAGGAGAGAACACAGGGGAACATGTCAGCAAACAAGAGAGAGGACCAAAAGACACAAAAAGACAGCAGAACACCTGACACCCCTCCATTCTGGTACCCTATTCCACATCTTATCCAAGTTATCAGTGCCCATTTAATGTGCTGGACCAGGGCCACAGATAGTTCTAACCCAGTCTTACCAGTACTGAGTGCTGATATGCTGGTTCCTGAACTGATCTGATATTATATTTCTATTAATGCGAGCTGGGCTTACACAATTTTCTTGGAAACCAGGCCATACCTTTAGACAATCAACAAATGTAAAAAGCAACAACATAGTGCTATAGAGGACAACTAGGTATGTATGAGTAAAGTGAGTTGATCACTAAGAACATCTCAATATATGCCCTTATGTTATGATGGTGCGGAGCTTGCCAGCATGGCACCACACATCATTTGGTTTCTCTCTTGCCTGTAAGTTCCTGGATTGGCTTTGTACATGAGGGAAGAGGAGCTTTGGACTTGCCAGTTGAACCTGGTCTTTTGTGAAGCCCTTGGGGTGATACAGAAATAGATGTCAGTGCCACGAACCAGAGAATGGAAGTTCCCTTGAAAACTGCACTCACTGCTCTTGGTGATCAGACGGTATTTTTACTAGAGCCAACTTTAATACTCATCTCTGTCCTAAGAGTGTACCTGGTATGTTATGATAAATAAAACGTTTAGAATTGGGACAGCTGCACCATCAAACCTTTGAAGTCATGGTTGAAACTATCTTTTATCTCGGAGACAG